ACCAAGTCTCTTTAATAGTGCACTCAAACTTTAAAGATGTTCAATAGAATCTCAACTGTGGCCTTGATGTTGAGTTTGATCTTTGTGAGGTTTGCTATGGGATCGGAGTCAGACATGCAACACTTTATTATGGATCAGTGGAACAGTGCGCGGATTCGAGAGAATGATATGCGTGTTAGCTACCAAGCAGCCTGTAAAGCTGTAGCAGACGAAATGGAGACTGCCAGGCAAGCAAATAGGATGGCGCTCCGTTACGGTGAGAATCATCCGGACACCAAGCGTTTCCGTGATATTCAAAGCCATTACGATCACGTTTCTCAGGTAGCTCGCAATGATAACATAGATGCGAAGAACCATTACGGTTGAAAGCAGCATGCAAGTTGTGTAGAGAAGACACTCCCAACCACAACCAGTTGGTCAGAAATTTTTCCCACAGTGATTATCATTTTATGATCTCCTCTCTGTCTATGCTCCTCTGGTGTCTATGTTTCCCCTGGCGATTTTTTTCCCTTCATCTTGCCTACTTTTCTCTGTACTGTAGTGATCTGATCATGGCAGATTGCTAATTGGAGCTTCGACTGCACTTTGGGCAAACATTACGAAATCTTTGTTCAGAGTGAGATCAGGAACTCGAAGCTTACGAGTACACGGCCGGTGCGAATTGAGACTTCACATCCAGCCCTGGGATGGCATCATCCCAAGGCCGTCCCAGGTCCCAAAAAGCCATCAAAAGAGCCTCATTGTGAGGCTGTTGTGATGGTAGTTTTTTTTTTCTTTAAAAAAAATGGATTTGGACACACTTGCAGGGATGCCTTTCTGTGTGATGTCCCCAGGACACCCAAGTGCACCTGTGGTGTAATTGTTATCCGAGAGCCTGAGTAGACTGAGAGTATTTATGTACACCATGGCCGGGGTGTAAGAATCGAGAATTAGTACATAATAGTATGTACTATTTGTAGAAGAGCTTGGAATATATTTACTACTTTCAGATAAGCCTGGACTTGGACTGATTCTTTTTAACAAGTAAGACCTAGGATCGAGGAAATAAGCAAACCCGAGGATCGAGAAGACCACCGGGAAAGCGAAGTCATGTAGTAGAATTTAATATTTAAAAGCCCTTCGTTTTGTTCTTTGTTGTTTCTCTTTTTTCTCTTTTCCTTATTGCAATATTTTTGTTTCTTTTATCATCATCAAACATCCAAAGCAATCAATAGTGAAGGGATCTCCCTATTTATCTTTAAAACAATCGTTTAGAAATAACACTCTTTCGTTGTCAATTTAGCTCGTCTACCGACACTCTTTGTTCTCCGGTAATAGGAATCCTTATCGCGTACATCCTTAGTCATTACAATAATATTGCGATCTTTAAACACTCCTTGTTCTACTTTATAACCTTACTTTCCTCTTCAAATGGATATCAACCCAGAAGAACGAGTTCAAAACTTGGCCGATGCCCTTTCCAACCTCCAAATCCATCATCAGGCTGAATCTCAGCGTTCCGAAAATCTTTCTGCCGACATCACTTCCCTTAGACTTGATGTCAATAATATTCGATTGACCCTTCAAGATGTAACCCAACGTCTCCTTCTCTTTCATCAACAAATCGTCACTCTTCAATCTGCTCCACCCCCCAATAATAACCCTTCTTTCACCGATGTCGGAGTAATGCCTCACGCCTCTTTCTCCGGTAATCCCAAGGAAATAAATCAATTCCTTTATTTTGTGAAGGATCGATTAATTGAAGTCGAACAACGATTTCAAAATGAGAAGAGCAAGATCAACTGGGTAGTCCGACATTTTCGACACTCAAACGGCAACCTTTCGGAACCGACTCCCTCTTACAATTGGTGGATGTCAATTTTGAAGGAAAACGCTCGAACCCAGGAGCTCCCCACTCAGTTCGCCTCCGCCGAGGATCCTTATGTTATCCCTTGTCTTTTTTCCATTCGTACTTTTTTGGCTAAATTAGAGGAGACTTTCGCTGATAGAAATAGTGTAGAGGATGCCAAGCGCGCATTATATAGTTGTAAACAAGGCAATATGTCCCTTGATGTTTTCAATTCCTTGTTTAGTTCACTTGTCTATGCTGTTGACCTTACCGAAGAAAGTCGGTGTGATTTGTATAAGCGTGCTCTTAACCCCAGAATTTTGGAAATCGCCATCGTCAAGGACTCCTGGAAATCGGCCGACACCCTCCGCAAGAAGCAAGATCTTGCAGTTTTGGCTTCCAACATCCTCGACGAACTTAATCAACTTCGTAATAATATGGCAGTTCGACAACCCAATCATCGACCTTCAGTCCCTCCTCCACCTCCAGTCCAGACAACAACTCCTATGGAAATCGATGCAATCACGGCAAGTACCGGATTTACCTTTCCTTTATATCGCGCTCTTTGTGTCAAGAAGAAGTTATGCCAGCGGTGTCACAAGGCGTACGACAATACTCACATCACCAATCGATCTTGTCCCAATGTCGAGGTATCGATGAAAGACAAAGTCGACCTCTTCACTCGTCTTTCCCGAGAACAACCCAATACTCAGGTATCCAACATCAATGTTTCAGCCATCAACTTCGACTTCAATCCTGCTGTTCAGTCTTGGGATCACCTCGGCCATCATTCTATTTCGGATCTGTTGATGTTTGGATGTGATTCGGAGGGAAACCCTTTAGCTGATGGCAAGTCTCCTCTCTTTGTCTCTTCCATTAACTCTTCTACCTCCATTCTTTCTCCCCCTGTTGTTCCTTCTAGATTAGTTATCTCCATCCAACTCTTGCGCCCCTCTCTTCCTCCCATCACTGCTTCGGCGCTCATTGATTCAGGCGCTGGCGACTCGTTCATCGATGCCAATTTTGTAAGAGCTAATAAATTACATCTAACTGTACTTTCCTCTCCCTTTTCATGTAGAAGCTTCGATGGATCCCTTGCCACCTCAGGGGATGTCACACACTGTTGGCGCGGCTCCCTGATTGGTTCCGACTCTTACGACTCCTTTCAGACTTCGGTTGTTTCTCTTAATGTTATTTCTCTTGCTTCAGTAGACATTATTTTGGGTCTTCCTTGGCTCAAAGCCAACAACGCATGGGTTGGCGGTCCTCAGGGACAACTTTTGTTTTCCTCTTCTTTGACTTGTAACGCTGTCTCATCTCAACTTCAATCCTTTCCTGCTGAACCGTCTTCCACTAATAATCCCTCACTCCTTAATCAAGACGAAATACTCTCTCTTCCTTCAGCTTTGCGTTGTTATTCAGATGTTTTTACTGTGGCCAGTTTGCAATCACTACCCCCAGTGCAACCTCAGTTTGATTTTCGCATTCAATTGAAGGAAGGCAGTACGCCTCCGTTTGGAGGGTTATACAATCTTAGTGAAGGAGAACATCGTCAATTGCGTGAATATGTAGATGAAAATTTGAGTAAGGGTTACATTCGTCTCTCTTCTTCTCCGGCTGCGGCCCCGATATTTTTTGTTAAAACTGATGGTAAGGCTGACCGACCTTGTGTTGACTATCGAGGTCTTAACTCTATGACTATCCGCGATAGTTATCCTATCCCCGTTCTTTCCCTTCTTTTAAATAATCTTGCAGGTTGCAAGTATCTTTCCAAGATTGACCTGAAGTCGGCTTTTAATCTTCTTCGGGTTACTCCCGGACAAGAATATCTTACAGCTTTCCGTACCCCTTGGGGACTTTATGAGTACACAGTTATGCCCTTTGGTCTTGCTAATGCTCCTGCCACCTTCCAACGATTCATCCAACATGTTCTCAGACAATTTATTGATGTCTGTTGCTTCGTGTATATCGATGACATCCTTATTTTTTCCAAAACAGAATCAGAACATCTTCTTCATCTCACCCAGATCCTTTCTCAACTCCGTCAATTTTCTTTAAAAGCCTCTCTTCACAAGTGTCAGTTTTTCCAAACTGAGGTCAACTTTCTAGGGTTTATCATTACCTCTACAGGATTGCGTATGGACCCCAAGAAATTGGACACTATATTACAGTGGCCAATTCCTGAGACTTTGCGAGGATTGCGTCGTTTTTTAGGATTTTGCAATTTTTATCGACGTTTCATTCCTTGTTTTTCTGCTATTGCTGGTGCGCTTACGGCTTTAACTAAGGAATCCATGTTCCAACCCAATTCTTTATATCAGAAAGGCCCCCATTCCTCCTTTATGGCTTTACGGGCCGCCTTTTCATCTGCCCCTCTTCTTTCTCACTTCTCGTTTGCCGCAGAGAGGGTAGTCCATGTTGACAGTTCTGGATTTGCGATAGCAGGGGTCCTCAGTCAACCAGATAGCTCTGGGAAACTCCGTCCTGTTAGTTTCTTTTCTAGGAAGCTCACCGACCAAGAACGTGCCTGGCCTATTTTTGATCTCGAAATGTTGGCAGTTGTGTCAGCATTCGAAGAGTGGCGTGCTTGGCTCGCGGGAACCCCTACTCCGGTTTTGATCTTTTCTGATCATGCAAACTTGAAGCATTTCATGTCTGCCAAGTCGCTTACTCCTAAGCAAGCCCGTTGGGCGGCTTATCTCGATTCTTTCAATTTTAAGCTTCTCCACTTATCTGGCATTTCTAATCCCGCTGACGGTCCAAGCCGTCGTCCTGATTTTGAGAATCCTAATCCTTTAACCCTTCCAAATTCGTTAGCCTCTAAAATTCACATCTCTGTTGTTTCACCCGGTTCTTGTCCTAAACCGGATCATGATTTATATTTTCAACCGGCCTCTTCAGAGTTTGTTACTTCTTTGAAGGAGACTTATTCATCGATGACCGAGGAAGAAAAGGAGGATTATCTTTTTCATTCAGACTGTTACTGGTTCAGACATCGCTTATTTGTGCCGACGCAGTTGCGGGAACGGATTATGAAGACTTTTCATGATGGACCATTGGTGGGTCACCCAGGGATAGCTCGAACACTTTCTCTAATTCTTCGGACTTTTGATTGGCCTTCTATACGAAAGGATGTGATCAATTTCGTTAACTCGTGTGATTCATGTCAACGTGTTAGGTTCTCTAGACAATCACCAGCGGGTTTGTTACAACCGTTACCAATTCCCTCCAGACCATGGTCGGTCATTGGGATGGACATGGTTACTAAACTCCCCCTTTCCAATCAGTGTGACTCTATAATGGTTGTTATTGATTTACTCAGCAAAGCAGCACATTTCATTCCTTGTAAGGAGGAAATGACTGCGCCTGAGTTAGCAAAATTATTCAGACGCGAAGTTTTTCGCTTGCACGGATTACCTGATCGTATAGTGTCTGATAGAGGACCTACTTTCACCAGTTCCTTTTGGCAAGCTTTATTAAAATTATTGCGCATCGACTCAGCCACATCGACTGCTTTTCATCCGCAAACTGACGGACAGACTGAACGAATGAACCAAGTGGTAGAGGACTATCTACGCCATTTTGTCAATTATAAGCAGAATGATTGGGCAGACCACTTGGATCTAGCCGAGTTTTCTATCAATAATTTACATTCTTCGTCTTCTGGTGTTTCACCATTTTTCTTCGTCCATGGGTATCATCCGCGATTCAATACCTTAACGACCCCTTCTAATAATTCTCGGGCTAACCACTTGATCCAAGATCTCCAGAGTATTCAGGAGAAAGCTACTGTTTCTTTACAACAAGCAAAGATCAAGCAGGCCCACTACTACAATCAACACCGCACAGTCCCGCCGGTGTATTCTCCTGGGGATCTGGTTCTTTTATCTCGCAAGAATATCAAGACTCTTCGTACCAATTCCAAACTTGATTTCCGGCACCTTGGCCCATTCTCTGTCATAAAAATGATAGGAGACAATGCAGTACATTTGGATATTAAAGCTCACTATCCAAAGCTTCATCCGGTTTTCAATGTTTCTTTGCTTACTCCTTATAAAGAACCAACTTCTACTTCCTTCCAAACAGACACGATTCCACATCCTGATAATCATACATGTCCAGTCGCGAAGATTGACTGGAAATTTTTTGAGGAGGTGTTGGCTCATCGATCCAGACAGAAGGGTTCCGATGAATACCTTTTTCATTGGAAGAATTCCACTCCTTTTCATGACAGGTGGATTCATTTGAAAAACATTCCGCGCGAAATTCATAATACTCTCATCGCTTTTCACCGTTCCAATAACTCCGCTGTCCCTTTACTTTTGACAGGTACAAGGTAAAGTATATTTGTAAGAATCGAGAATTAGTACATAATAGTATGTACTATTTGTAGAAGAGCTTGGAATATATTTACTACTTTCAGATAAGCCTGGACTTGGACTGATTCTTTTTAACAAGTAAGACCTAGGATCGAGGAAATAAGCAAACCCGAGGATCGAGAAGACCACCGGGAAAGCGAAGTCATGTAGTAGAATTTAATATTTAAAAGCCCTTCGTTTTGTTCTTTGTTGTTTCTCTTTTTTCTCTTTTCCTTATCGCAATATTTTTGTTTCTTTTATCATCATCAAACATCCAAAGCAATCAATAGTGAAGGGATCTCCCTATTTATCTTTAAAACAATCGTTTAGAAATAACACTCTTTCGTTGTCAATTTAGCTCGTCTACCGACACTCTTTGTTCTCCGGTAATAGGAATCCTTATCGCGTACATCCTTAGTCATTACACGGGGGGGGACTCTTTGAGATTGACGGTCAACCCCTGGGGACAGCGTCATCCAGCCAGACCGAGCAGCCACTAGACTATCAGATATGTAACAGGCTTGGAGCCACACGGTTATGTTGGAGGATCTCTGTCGGCAATCTTGGTACATGATCTGGAGCAGGGAAGTGGGTTGGTGCTTTGATCCGCGCATGTATGCAGATCCGACTCGGCGCAGTCCAGCCGGATCGTGGGGAGCTATATAAGCAGTTCAAGTTTCTTCCAGAAAAAAACCCAGAAACACAGCACGCATACATTCAACCATGACCACCCAACTGTACCAACACCATCGATACCCATCAGACACAACACACAACACAACCAGTCACACAATCTAACTATCATGACACTCAGATCAGATCAGAGGCAG